CAGAGAGGTGGGGGAGTCTCCCCCTCTGGAGCCATCCCAAACCCGCCTGGACGCCGTCCTGTGCCACTGCTGGAGGTGCCCCTGCTCTGGCGGGGGGGTGGCACTGGGGGAGCTCCAGAGGGCCCTTCCAACCCTCACCAGTCTGTGACTCTCTGATTCTGTGTGTTTCTGTGTGTTTAGCCACACTCACTGCATTTCGTTGGAGTTTTTACCTGTTGCCTGTGGAGCCCATGTAGGCCTCGAGCATTCACAGCAGCCTCGGGCAAGGTGCTCCACAGCTTAACCACCCTCTGTGAAAAGAGTTAACTCCTTGTTGTCTGTCTTGGGTCTCTTTCTTTTGATGGTCCGTAGTTCTTGTATGGAAAGAGTCTCCAGCTGGTCATGGAGCACCTTCCCTGAGCTGCTCCTGGCTGTGCAGGCGGCCCGTGCTGCAGAACTGACCCCTCATTAATGGATTGTCCAATTTCATTGCTACCTTAGTAGAGATGTCTGGAAAGCTCAGGTTAAAAACATGGGAATTTTGAAAATTAAAAAGCTCACAATATGGAATTATTGTTTAATAACGCTCTTTTAAACCAGCACACCAGAGAAAATATGGCGTACTACCTCTGCAGGAAAAAATAAGGTCCGGTTTCAGAGGGTTTAATTCATTTCCGCAGCTTAACGCCCTAGTTTGTGAGAATAGTCCTTTCCCTTTGCTGATAGCTTCAGCTGGTCCGTGAGTTTGTGTCGTCGGTTGTGTAGGAGAGCACTAAAACCCCCCCCACCTCCAGGGCTGCGATTGCCTGGGCTCCCTGCATGGCAGGTGCCCCCGCGCTCCGATGGCAGCTCCGCGCGAGAGACGTGTCCGGGTGGGAAATCCCATCGAGTGGAAGCGCTGAAGCCCCTTGCAGCCTCTCCCTCGCGGCTGACAACGCTTGGCGAGCCTCTCGGAAATAACCTTCGAAACTTGGCAGCGTGAATGCTTTGCCTCTCTGTGCCGTTTCTGTGCCGATAAAAGCGCGGGCGAGTGGAAGGGCGAGACAGAGGCCGGCGCGTTGTGATCTGGGGTCACTGGCTGACGCTGTGAGGAGCCTCATGACACTCTCTGGGCTCCTCTGGGGGGGTTTTGCTGTGTCACTCTGAAGACGTGATGGCACTTGCGAAGGGGAGCAGAGAGGAGTCCGCGTTATTCCCTTTTGTTTACCGAATGGTGACAAGAACGCCCGTTCTCTGACCCTCGTTGAAGTGCATGAGCTGTACAAAAGCTGCAGTGCCCATCTGCAAATTATGGGAGAAATTAACAGGATTGTTCCTGTCCTTATCTTTTTTTTTTATTTTATTTTTTTTTCCGCTCAGGGCTGAGCCGGTACTTTCACGAATTCAGGAAAATCGGAGAAGGGTCATTCTTCCCTCCATAGACAACATCAAGCAGGACAACTTTGAGGTGCAGCGGTACGAGAACTCTGCCCACGGGTACAGCTGGGAGCTGTGGTGCATGTACATCAGCCCCCCCAAGGACTGGTGGGATGCCGGAGACCCCTCGCTGCCCATCAGGTACGTCGCAGAGCCCGGGGCCACTCGCTCGCCGCCAGCGAGGTGCGTGAGGCAAAACGCGGTCAGATCAAGCGAGAAGCCAGGTTAGAGGGGGCCGATATGGTATCGTGACATGAGCTAACTCGGAGAGGCTGTCACACAAGCCTGGAGGGGTTTTGCTAGGGCAAAGGGGTTTGGAAAGGGGTATTATTTGGTAACAATATGCAAAACCGCTGAGGAAGTGTAGGAACTGTGTGGATGTGTACAGCCTGATGTTTAACTGCACAGGACAAAGTCACTTTACCTTAATTACAGCATTAAGTTTTTGCAAATCATAAGGAATGAGGTGACTATTCCTGGGTAATGAACTGAGCGTGAATTCATGAAATACAGCACTGTGTTTTCTTGAACAAAAAGCGTTTCTCCTCTCAGGGCAAACTTTGTAAAAACATCTCTGAGGTTGTTCTAACACTCCAGCTTGCAGGGGGGCAGCTCGGAAGCATTGCCCCAGCCCCTCCAGGCCTCAGGGGGTGACCCTCAGACCAAAGGCGGGCGGGAGGGAATGGCTCGGCGCGGGCGGGAGACTGGGGCTGCCCCAGCTGCGGAGGTCAGTGATTTCACCTCGGCATCCCCTACGTATCAGAAGGGATGCTGTGATGATGAGGAGCGGTTTCCTGGCCAGGTGAATAAGATATATTGCTCCTTACTTGATTAATACGGAGAAGACTTGTCCTCAGGCATATAACGGATGCGTGTGTGCAATTCCGCGCCTGATCTGAATCCTGAACTGAAATATCCGTGCCTTGGTCAGTGCTACAGTCCCTGGAAGCTGAAATTAGCTCTATTCCCATTTATGGAGAGACCTGTTTTATTCCTTTGGGCTCTCTTGTTCCAGACAGCATATTCAGCCATCAGTGAAGGAACTGACAGTTTATTCTGGACAGGAATCAAGTCTTTGAGGAATAAACAGTTGTTTTATCCGAATGCAAGTTGCTGGGCTTGTTAAGGGAGGGGCTGAACGGCTGGGGTGTGCGGAGGGTGAAGCTGAGGGATTCAAAAGCCTTTGTGAGTGGGGTGTGCGCAGTGTGGTGCTGGCAGTCCCTACGCCTGCATGGCTCCAGTGCCCAAACTGGTGCCTCTGGAGGGTGATAGAAGTGGACCCTCTCTGTTGGGATAAGCCTCTCAGCCAGTGGATGTAAAAGTCAAGAAAGTGTTGTAGGGAAGAGCAACCTCTTTTGTTTAGACTGAACTGTAGGAGTTGGGAGGAGCAGTCAGGCTTTGGCCATATGGGATGTCCCCTGTGACTGCCACACCACCCCAGGAGCTTGCTGGGGTTCAAAAACTAGCTGGGAAGGTGCATTGGGGAGACTGGGGCCACCCAAATATGACATTTAAATGTAAGGCATGACTTTCTGTTCTACTCTTCTCCAAGAATGTGGTTTTAATTTCAGTTTCAGCGTGCTTAAGGAGGGCAAGCTGTGGCAGAGAGAGGGACAGGCGGCTTTGTGGAAGTTGGTGTTTGATGGCAGAGGAGCTGAGAAGGGAGAGACGGGGAGGAGGAGTGAGTGACCAGGGAGGAGGAGAGCTGTGTGCAGCCGAAGGGTGGGATGGCTGTGAAGAGGCAGAGTGGGGAGGTCAGTACCTAACGCAAGGAAGATGGAGGCTTTTTAGGACGTAGCTTTGCCCCAGGCTCCCCAGGTATGAACCAGTTTATAAAGGTGGCCACTGAGGCCAGGAGTGTAAATGGGGTCACACAGACGTTGGATGTTTACACGTCTCCAGATCTGCCAACACACTTTTTTACTCCTTGGTTCAATGCTGAGCGCCAGCAGGTACTGTGAAGCTCTGAGTCAGTGCTGCCTGGAGGTTTTATGTACTTCTGATCTACTGCTATAGAAATGAAGGGTTTGCTGTGGGAGTTGTCTTCTGTTGGGCAGAACGTTGCAATAGGTTGTTCTGGAGCTTGTTTTATCACTAAAAAAAAAAATAAAAATCTATGGATGGTGCTAAAATGTGGATGGGATACTGAGCATCATATTTCTGTATTTAAGCAGACTGCAAACAGTTACTGCTTAGGAGGAGCTGGGAGGTGCGAGAGGTTTATCAGTCTGCTCTGGGGTTCCCACAACCTTTCTGCACCGGTTGCATTCCTTTTTGGAGACCACCTAGGAGCAGGGCATGCCCTGTGAGCCCCAAGGGTCTGCCTGCTCAGCCCTCGAGCACTGCTGAGTTGAACCACCAATGAACTGGAGATCAGAGAAGGCTTCCAGAGACACTCGACTGGCAGCAATAAGGAGGCACATCCTGATCATCGGCTTTGTCTTTGTTGAAGGCATCTGTAATGTGGACACTGCTGCTTGAGGCCACGGCGTGGGGGAGTCGGGGCTCGGGGGTTAAAGGGAGCCAGGGTGGAAGGACACTGCCTCCCAAGCCTGCTCTGGGGAAGGGCTTCTGTAAGAAACCCAGTAGCCTCCCAGTGATGGTAAATAATTAAACAACTTACTAAAATAACATTGTTAACATGCGCTGGGGGAAAGATTATGAGAAAGACAAATGGGTAGTGTCCACAACAAAAAGCTAATGAAAAATACTGTCTCATTGCATTATGTTGCGTAACCACATACAGACCAGAAATAAATGACTACAGTTATTTTTTTTGTCATATAATGCTACGAAAACTATGCACTTTATGGCAATATTTGCATGAAGGGGATACCAGTGCAGTACTCCATGTAATTATGCATGGGATTAGAGGAAATTCTGAAATTATAGCATACAGAGGTACATTAGTTTTTTAGAGACCTCTTAGGATCTGTCTGGGAGCAGAGTAAAGCAGTTTATTCCTTTTTTTGGTTTTACTCTCTCGGCATGTGGGGATTCTGGCAGCCCCAGGAGAAGTTCCCCCTGCCCACGAGGGCTGCTCCAGCGCGCTCTGAGCCCCGATGTGTCAGCCCCTACCGAAGACTCGGCAGCGGAGGCTGGAGACAGACAGCTGTGTGAATACGGTTGGAGGCAATTTTCTCTCATGGATAATTCACGAGATATAATTATCCAGGCAAAGAGAGCTGATGGCATCAAACCCATCTAAAATATGGCCCGGTCTCAAACTGGCTCCAGTCTCCTGCTTTATCCAATAATTTCCCTA